CGCTTGATCGCCACGACGGACTGTGGGATCCGGGCGAACCGTGTCGAGCTTACGACAACAGGGTGACGATCGCAATGGTGTAAGTTAGCACGCGGCGGTCGGGATCGTCGGTGCGGGTATGAGGTTCGATGATTGGCCCGGGGCCATATTGGAATTAACGGCGAAAGCGCCTTTGTTGTTGCGGATCTTTACCTTTGGCGTGAGTGCATGGTGGTCATGTCGAATGTCTCTCTCCCAGATCTGGTCATCACCTACCTCGACTCTCTCTCTCTATCTCTCTCTCCCCCCTTTTCTTTTCTCTACTTTCGAATGGTGATGTTTCTCGATTGATTATCTCTCGCTTTCTCTCCTAAGTAGAAGCAAATCGGGTGCTCCCCTTGCATAAAAGAACTTCTTCCGGAACTCTTCCATTAGTTTCCTGGGTAATCCTACGCAAGGACCCCGCCTTCTTGTCTTGTGAACGGTGGATACGTGTGTACTGTGCAATGCGACCCATCTTTTCTGGTGCATGTCTCATTTTTGCACCTTCCGCAGTGAATGCATGAATGAAATATGTGACTCTTTTGTTGATTAGACGATTATCGTCGGGATTTTGTTCGAAAATGCAAGAGTGTTTAGATCTGTAGCTATGTTTGCACTGCGTAGGCCATCTGCCTTATGGTGCACGACATCAACAGTCGAACCACGAGGCGGCCCTGAGAAACAAGGCACCCAGGGACCTACGTTGTGTTGAACTAATCGGACCCGTAGCCATATGCGTGATCAAGCTGATCTGTGTCTACTCTCTCTCTTGTGTCAAAAAAATTGATTGGGGGACGCGCGAATTGCTTTTGTTCTTAATGACGTCTCATGATATTTTGATATTGATTGATATGTGGACCGACAAGTACCCTTCGATTGGGCGCCAGCCTTTCGTACCTTCCATCCCAACGCGACCTTTTCCTTACAGTGAGGAAAGGACACGTGTATGTGAGTGGGACGTACGAGAAGCCGTTGCACAAATCGGCGGGCAGTATTACTTCCCTCCGGCCAACCGCTGTTCTGGGTTTGTAGAAGCGGGTTTGTTATTATCGATACGCACTTCCCACCTTACTCGATATTGTTGTCATTTAATGAGTTAATTGTTATTCCATGGACGGCAGTAGAACCCCACTGGCCGTGCACTCTTTGCACCGAATATCAGCGTTTTGATCACTACGAGTCCAGGGGTTTTCACTACCGTGTGCGGAGCGAAGACGAGCATAAAGAGAGAGCCACGCGGCTGAGACCCTCCACGTCAGACTCAGAACTAACCAGCGAACGACGACGAGATTTGRTACGAAAACGGGACACGCGAAGCGTGCCCAAGCCCTTCTGTTCTAAACGACGGGCTGTAGCCCAGTGGGAGGCACGACAATACTTTTTGAATTGAATTTGGATCTTTCCCTCTCTTCCTGCTACCGCGCGCGCATTTTGCGACGTGCGAAAACGATCGACTTGCTCCATTGGACCAACACGGGGGATTTCAGTTCCGTCTGTGTCCCCACACTCAATTTCTAAAAATCCTTGGCACACCCCATCTTGCTGTTTTTCTGGGCCTCTTTTCCGCACAGCTAACACTCCGAATGGAAGACAGCACAGGGCGTGAGGTTGGTATCGGAACCGACACGTGTCGGTTTTGATGATAGTAAGTCGAACTGGCGAGAGGTAGGAGAGACCCTCAACTAGCTCGTCGAGATCGCCCCGTAACCAGGTCTCATTCTTGTGCGGCTGCACCGACAACAATGGTGGATGGTACTAGGGTAATCGTTAGCATCCCTGCCCCCTTCCCCTTCTTCCCCAACCATACCCATCCCGAGGCTTGGTTGAAAGCTGTCGAAGCTCAAAATTACAGCGCAACCGATTTTCCCCGTGTTCTGACTTTACTACTCCGCAATACATCACACGACTGGTTCCGAAAGCATACATGGGTAGATTGGGAGACTTTTAAGTATGCATTCTTGGCTCGATTCGACACAGTTAGTGAAGATGCCGCCTGGTACGGTCACAAAAATCGACCCCAAGGACCAGGGGAACTGTTACCCGATTTCGTTGATCGATTTCAAACCACATTGGACAAATCCGGGTGAGATGAAAAATCTGCTCGAGATTTGTTTATTGATCACCTTCGAAATCCGACTTTGAAAGGGAAACTGCAGAAAAAAGTTCCGCCAAAAACAAGCCAGTTATCGGCTTTCATTACTAAAGCATTGGAACTAGACTTGGCTGATAATAAAAAATATATCAGCCAGGGAGATGAAGACATTACGGATACCATACGGGATGTAACGGCTAAAAGGCGATCGTGGTTGCAAGCGGTCGAACGATCTTATCCCCGCCCCGACCATGACCTTCCCAGCGGAATCGTTTCCGTTATCCCGACTGCTTCCCCTTCATCTCCCCCGGTGAATCAATCGATCGCAGCCATCAGAAGCGGACCTTCATCTGAGCCCCCCTCGCTGACCGTAGCCAATCTACACCTTGCCCAAATGATTCATACGACTATTACCAAGCAGGCCGAATGGATGAGCAACTTAATCCAAATGCAGGCCGCTCATATGGAACGGTTGGAACAAATAAGGAGCAGACTCATTAAGCCTAACCCAGCTCCTGCTCGGCCTGCCCCTGCATCGTTTCCACTCTTACTTGCTCCGCCTGCTCCAGGATTTGCCCCTCAGTTTCCCCAGTTTGCTAATCAGGCAGGAAAGATCGAATGTTTCAACTGCAAACAGCCCGGACATTTTGCTCGTGACTGTCCGCAACCGAAACGTAATCAGCCCCCCCTTGCTGCGGCCCCCATCGCCCTTAATCAAGGTCGAGCGGCCGCTCTAATGGATACGGACCCAGAAATAGAACTCGTGGCATACACCTCGAAGAAGCCTTCCCCCTCAACGACAATGGCGTAGACATCAGAAGCTTCCTCATCTGACGCTGCGGACATAGTTGACCCCCTTGAGTATCTTCATCTCGTCGAAATGATCGGAGCGATCCGATCGGCCCAGGCTGATCTCGAATGGGTCGATCGCGAGTCCAATCCCGGACCGCAGTTTCGATCAGGAGATATTTGAAAACGCTCAAGCAATGAGATATTCGTGTATCTATCCCAGTAGGACATCTGCTCACCATATCTGAAGCGGCGAACGATAAACTTCTACAACATTGCCAGAAAAATCAAAAGCGCTTCACCTATCAGCGCATACAACGGATGTTGAAGAAGAAGGAAGGAGATGAGGAAGTTGCACCCCTCGAGCCAGATACAAAAGAACCTGAACCCGAAGTCACACGCGTAGCCGCCATCTCTTTAGCAGAAAAGGATCACTTCGTACGAGCTGGACCAGCACTATGAAAAAGTGTGGAATGTGACTGCGAAGTTTTGGGTAAGCCGTTTAACGCCCTCATCGACACAGGGTCTTCTGCAGTAGCCATATCGTTAGATACTGTCAAAAAGACGGGACGACTTGGATCCATTCTTCCTCAATCTGGTAAAGACAACTATGTCTCTGCCGACGAGGAGACAATGAATATCGTAGGTATTATCGAAAACATGGTTGTAAAGGTAGGACGAGTACACGTCCTTGTCAACGCGCTCGTAATAGATGTACGCTCCTATTCTGTGTTGTTAGGATTACCTTCTGCGATGGCTGTAGGCGCACGACTGCATTTTGATTCGAAGCAACTGATGCTCACACAAACTGGGGAAAAACCTCAGACTGTTCCCTTGCAGGTTTCCACCCAAACGATAAAACGAGTTCCCCACTCACCCGAAATAGGGATGATCCGAGGCATTGATCCCGAGGAGCGCTTCCCCTCGCGCCTCGGGGAGGGAATCAAGGAACGAGAATACGAAGAAGAGATGCCCAATAAAGAGGAATGGAAACATCTGGTCGAACTTTTCAAACATGAAACCCCCGAAAAATTTCGAGTGTGCCCCAACATCGCTCGAAGCTTCCACGTGGATTCCGAAGACAGTACATTCACGCCTCCAACAACCCAGGTCAGTCCTTCTGTCCTCCTCGGGGAACCCATATTACAAGTCTCCAATCTGGCTGATGATTTGGAACCCCCTTGCACCTCGTACGAGGGAACTCTTTCCTTACGAACGCGTTATCAGCAAACGAAACAGTATTTGGACGTCTTTGTTTTCCCACCCCGATCATTGTTAACGACAGGAGCCATCATCGCCTTGATTAAACAAGACGCGGAAGCACCGGTAAGTGATGTGCCAAATCTGATGCAAGAAATGACCGATCTAACATGACTATTTGTAGAACCGACTTCGGTTGATTCAGAGACTTACGCTGAAACCAAAGAAACGGAGATGATCAGCCCCGCTGAGTCCCAGATGATAGCAACTGTCTTTTCTGTTCGCACCAGTAGTTCCGTTTTCTCTAGTGTCCATGAGCGGCGGGAACGGCCAGTTAACTGGATCGATATGCCCCTTAATATGTACGAGGAATCAACGATCCCCCTCCCCAGTTATGTTCCCGTGGAATTTCGGGAGTCGCTAATCTGTGTATTGAATGGTTACGCAGATGTGCTGAACATGCATGACAATGATATTGGGTTAACTAATGTAATTGAACATGCCATTCTCACGGGAAGCCATCCACCCATTAGCTGCGCTCCCTACCGATATTGCCAGCTCAACGAGCGGCCGCCTTTCAGCGGATTAAGGAATTCGAAGCTAATGGATGGATCGAACCCGCTATATGACCGTGGTCTTTTCCTATAGTGATTGTACCCAAGAAGGCTGGGGGGATTCGCATTTGCATTGATTATCGAAAGTTGAATGAGATCACGATTAAAGATCTGTATCCCCTCCCCCGGATTGATGAGTTATTGGATGTGATTGGGAGTGCTCGATTTTTCAGCAAGTTTGATGTTCGTCATGGGGTCCATCATCTTTTTGTCCGAGAGGAAGATCGACCAAAAACAGCGTTCGTGCTTTTCGAGGGCACGTGGCAATGGATTCAATGTCCGATGGGTATATGCAATGCTCCCGCAACTTTTCAGCGAGCCATGAACATGAATTTTCAGAATTTCGTACGAAAGACTCGTTTGGCACAGAGCATCATCAACTACTGCGTGATTGTGTACATGGATGATATCCTAGTGTATTCGAGTTATTATGAGGGACACGTGCAGCACATCGAATGGGCAATGCATGCGTTACGAGATGCAGGTTTCAAGGTGGCACTTGAGAAGTGTCAATTTTTGCTCACCACCATTTCTTTCCTAGGGCACGTGGTCACAGACAAGGGACTCCAACTGGAATCGCAGAAGGTGGCAGCTGTCAGGGACGCGCCAGTGCCTACCACTATCACGCAAGTTCTCGCCTTTCTGGGCCTAGCCTCGTATTACCGAAGATTTATTAAGGGCTTCGCGGCGATTGCGGGACCCCTCACAAATCTCCTGCGCAAGGATCAGCCGTTGATATGGACGCCGGAGTGCGCTCAAGCATTTTCCAAACTCAAGGCTGCTCTCATTTCGGCTCCAGTCCTTATAAGACCGGATCTTGAAAAGCCTTTTGTTCTAATCACCGACTGGCAGCCAGAGGCGATTTCGGCGATCCTTGCCCAGGCGGGACCAAGCGGACTCGAGAATGTGGTGGAGTATGCGTCCAAATTAGTGCCCGCCTGCAAGCGCAACTACGCCGCTCCGACGGGAGAATGTTATGCGGCTCTCTGGGGAATCAGTCACTTTCGTGCTTACCTATATGGGCGAAAATTCACCCTAGTGACTGATCATGGGCCCCTGTTGGCTCTGAAGAGGTCGAAGGATTACTCGGGCATGATTGGAGGATGGGCAACGGTGCTGCTGAGCATGGACTTTGACATCCGTCATCGGAAGCACAAGAGGCATGGAAATGCGCATGGATTGACACGGTTACACAGGCCTGAGAAAGTTCAGAAAAGTGAGGAGGTGATCCCGTGGAACGAACCCAAGTAAAAGATTGGACCTCGGTACGGCCAAGTGGAAATTTTGTCGAATCAATAAGTGACACGAGGACTAATTTGCCTCTCCCCAATTCAGTCCTGTCTCTTCCCCTTTGTCATCATGACTACTCCGCCTGCCTTCACAACCCCTTCTTCTCCTACTAATTCTGCCCCGCTTACTTCCTTTGCTTTCTTTGTCGCCCTCCCCGATAAATTCTGTTATTTTTGCACGTGCATTGCACGGGTTTATGGGGTCGACTGTCATCCCTTCGAAGATGGGTTTGTCGATTGGGTAGAATGTGCCACGTGTGTCAATCGTGCGCACGGGGCCTTTGTACGATATCGAACGAATAGCAAGGAATGGAAGTGCCCCCTATTTAGAACGAACAAGCTCCCCATGGAGGTTCGATTCGAGGTTGCCCGTACGGACGGCCCTGAATACGACGAAAAATATCGACGAGCGGAGGTTTGGACAGATAAAATTTTATTGGCAAAATTAGCGGGGTTATCTTTGGGCCACCTCACCAAACACGACAGACGTAGGGCAACCGAGAGATCTCATGATTATCGATGGATCAACGGTCATTTGGAAAAACGTAAAACTGACGGATCGGATTCGTGGATGACGGTTCCTCATCCCTTCCAGAGATACGATTGGATCCGATCTGCTAACGAGGAACAGGCCGCTCATTTCGCGATACGCGTCACGGAGGCAACTGTAGACTAGAATCGATGGTTCTGGTCCAATAAACGAGATGATGTCAAATACATTGTCGCTAACTGTCTAGTCTGTGCCGCTGATCGCGCCCATATACGAGGACCAAACACGATTGTACCAACGGAAGTTGAGCGTCCTTTCCAGCGAGTCAGTATGGACACGACAAATATTGACGTGCCACCTGGCCCAAACCGCTGTGAATATTCTATTTTATTAGTATTAATTGACCACTTTTCCAAGTACATCGAAGTCTATCCCTGTAAGATCCGAAAGGCCGCAGAAATAGCCACGTACATCGAACGGTTTCTGTATACCCATCTAGATACGGAAGAAATTCTAACCGACAATGGATCTGAATTTAAAGGTGAGGTAGAAGAACTACTTGCACGAAGGGGCGTCACGCTCCAACATACGGCACCCCACGTATCCCAGTCGAACGGGTTGGCCGAGAATGCCAACCGTATAATTAAAACCGCCATTCGCAGGAACTTAGCGGCACACGACACGCGTCCTTGGCATGAAATCGTATATCGGATCGTCGGGATCCATCGGGCCACCCCTTACGAGTCTATGGGGTTCACCCCCTTTCAGCTTCAAACTAATAGCCTCCCCAGTATCGATTACCGTGGTAACTCGGAAATTGCCGAAGCAGGGGGTAGAGACACGAGTATGGCCCTCAAAGCCAAGGCTAAGAGGTACGCCGACTTAATGGAACGGGCCGTTCCGAAGCTAGCCCGGAAAAGGCAAAGGATGACCGAACTGGCCCACGGTAGACAGGTCCGTAGCTATGAGGCTCGGAACGGGAATGCTGGGCCCCAGTACCAATATAAATTGGGGGACCTAGTGCAGGTACGTAAATGTGCACGCGACCGGAAACTCGCTCACAAGTTCTCTGGCTGTTTTCACGTTGTCGAACTCGGACCCAACGGTGCCAACACGGTGCGCATCGAACCAGAGGCCAGCGCCAGCCATAACTCCGTCCCCATCGCCCGACATACCTCCTACCTCCGTCTCCTTCTTCCGATCTTCCTCCCTCTTTTTCCTCAGAAAGCGAGGAAAGCGACGACGATCTAACCCTCTGTCCTCTTTCTCCCTACTCCTGTCCCTCATCCTCCTCTCCGACCTCGCCATGAGTTTTATTACGGAGCGGGTTCTTGACTTACAGCTGCGGCAGCCACGTGGCCACCTCTCATAAATTCGGCAAGTTTGTCACCCTCGGCTCAATACGGATCTCCGCGGTTTGATGCGATTCTTCTGCGACGAAGGTATCTGTGCAGCCGCCTCGTTTCGGATAGAAGGACGCCCTCACGCGATAGTATTCACGGAGGTTACTGCAGTTCATCGGCGAGCGGGTCCCAGAACAAGACATGTTACCACAGTGGCGGGATTCACCGGCGACATCGGCTCGGTCAATCCGCTGAGGCATACCGAGATCTTGGCCTCGCTGCGTGAGTGGACGGAGCAAGTGTCCAATGTGTGGCAGCACATCCTCGCCCGTGAAGGATATAACATCATTCCGATCTCTGCATCGGATCTTGATGGTATTCGCCGAGTACCGTGCGAGAGGCCAGTTGTGATTCCTACCATCGTTCCCTTCCCCTATCCCCAATGAACCACGCCAATCTCCTCGCTCCTCTCTCTATCTTTGGTCTTCCCTCTCTCTTCCCCACCTTCTGACAATCCGATCTTCACCCTATTCTCTCCTTCTCAATCGAGCCTCTTTCGGTCCCTTTTATCAACCCTGGATATTGACGGCTGTGGCGCGAAACTTTTGAGGAGCTGTCCTTCTGCTTGGCCCGAGTACAAGTGAAGTGGACGGGCACTATCGAGCACCCCACGTGGATCGAGAATCCGGAGCTGCTGATCATACAGGGTTGGAGGACTAACGCAGAAGGAGATCTTATTGGATTCCTCTTTGGATCGGTGCAACCAGGACGCCGTCAGTTGATTGCAGAGGAGCTCATCGCACCGATTGTGCAATTGGCGGACGACCTCTCGCCCGACATCTGCTTTCAGAGTGACAGCAGTCCTGCTCCGTACATTTTTGAGCGATCCTTGGATCCGTACCTTCAGTGGACTTCGTGCTTGGAGGAACCTAGCAACGAGGATACACTACAATCGCAGCGGAAGTATCTGAAGCCGTACGAGATCCCCTACGCCTTCTACCCGAGGGCAGAAGAAGTGTCGATCAACGACAAGGACGAAGAAGAAGGCGACAACGAGGAAACATCGGAGGAGGGAAGCCATAGCAAACATAGTGAGGGCGAGCTGAGTGAGGAGGAAGAAGAAGAAGGAGAAACAGGGTCCGAGAGGGAAGCCCCGCCGGAGGAAGCAACGCGTACGGAAACGGAGGCAGAAGATCCGGAAGCGGCTCAAAAATGCGAAGAAATTGCCGCTGGGAAGCGCCAGCTGGAGTGCGCCAGCGAGGCTAGCCTGCGAATCGGTCGCAATCCAACCAGGGATCCAGAGCCGCCGAGGCCCGAAGATGGCGTCCCTACAACCGCCACCTCAAGTACCGCGCGACGGAGACGGCGCCGATCCCCCTCCTCCTCCAGCCCCACCCGTCCCCCAGTTCGCCCACGTACCAATGCGGGCGATAGGCCTTCGTCCTGGGACGCTGTCCCACCGACCTCTTGATTTCCTCACCCTCGAGCAGATCCGCGCCCCCGTCACCTTTCCTTCCCATCCTTTCCATCCCCATCTCTTCCACGACTTCTACTCTATCCGTCTACTTGCCACCGTCCACCCCCACGCCTCTCTTCGGTCCACTGCTCCCACATTCTGCTGGCATCGCCTGCTATTCAGAGCGGCATGGGAGCAAAGCAACGTTGTAGAAGTCTACTGCGTTGCCACGGGGACAATCCTCGCCTGTCGCGACTTCGAGAACTTTCGAGCGACACTTTTTCGCACCCTCTCCTCCTTCTATCGCGATATCCTCGCTTCCCTCCCCTGCACTGGCGATCACTTCCCCCGCTTCCATCGAATCATCCGATACGAGGAGCTCCCAGTGACGATGGAAGGGATGAATCGCTTCCTACCCCCACTCC